AGTGGAGTGGTTAAAAGTTGGTTGACCCATGTTATCCACCCACGGGGAGTCAATTAGATACTTGTGGAGCCGTAGAAGGAGCCCAGCTCGCCGCAAATTAAGAAGTTTGCGGAATACAGCAGGTACAGAGCTGATGATTTAGAACAATACGTTGTGGAATGCTACTGCACATTGATTGGCTGCAATACGCGTAGTCCATGTGTACCAACAATAAAAAATACAGCCAAAATGTTGGATGATTATATGGTCGGTAATGTATAGGTTCGGTAAATTGTCGTGTAGGAACACTTCAGAAATGTATTAGCACACTCCCACACTAACAAGACCTATTGACATCCGATAGATTCGCTAGACTTAATGTCTCGTCTTATAGGTTGGGATGTTCCCTGTGTACATTATTCCCTCTGGCAAGCCACCGAAACCTCAACGCTACTAGCCACGAGCAGATGCTAGAGTGTTCTTCTCCCTTTCTGAAATATATCTTGCAGTCCTACTAAGATATGGTACCGGACATATTTCAGACCTGATACGGGGTGTCGGAGCCAGGCTCCGATCGGGAAGTAATATATGGAAAGCGCACTAGCTTACCCAGACCACAGCGATAAAATTGCATTCTGCGCGTCAACTAAATCATCCTGGTGTGCTGTGCGTTGACATCTCGCTGCTAGAGGGCGGGAGCGGTTTGCTGCCTTCTAGGCAATGCTGCCGTTTGCAGAAGCTGCGCGTTTAGCTAGTCAGTGGCCATTTTGACGTTCCAATGGGACGTCATGACGCGTTGGTGCCTGCCCAAGGGCATCTAGGTTGTTGCCGCGGGCGTAAAGCCTACTGCGAGCTCTTGCCGCAGCTTTCTATGTATTCGATTTATTGTAACGTGATTGGTCAATTTAGAAAAAACAGTTTAAGGTCGTTTGATACCTGTTTCATACAGTACCAGCTGTGACCATGACCAGCGAATACGTTCTGAGAAGCGACACACACTGCTGATCATTCCGCGGAAGCGTGAGAACTCCCCCGGACATACGGCTTTCCGATATTCGGGTCAAAGATGAATGAGAACAAGACCAATGGGACTCATGCCCACCCAATGAGAAAACTGGTGGCGATGAGGCAGACAGTCCGATTGAGCTAGGCCGTGTCTACATCAACAACCGTACAATCGATAGTGACTTGCATTTTCTCAAGAGGAACAAGATCCAGCGAGCGTCCAACATACACGGTGAGCGAAGGCCTGTTTGGTATTTACGTGACGGAAAAATGCAAACACTCGTGACGCACCTGGACCAATGAGGCTCTGAAGCCTAAAGGAAAGTCCAGCGATCGACGCAAACCTAAATGCGTGCATAAGTCTAAATGGCTATGAGCTTGGTGCCCATCACCGATATCAACGAGTTCTTGCCTGAAAAACTATTTCAAGGCCACCACGACTTCACGGCAACGGTAAGCAGAAATCATTTTCAAGCGATACGTGGGTCTTCTAATATGCATCCTTCTTTCGACGCTGACGAAGACATTTCCTTTTCGGAAGCTGAACCAGATTTCGATCACCACGATGCCCAACCGGTCTCGGCCTCAGCCATTAACGTGGGACAAAGGACAATGTGGAACACCGCGTGTTGGAGCTGCCCGACGGCCCGGACGCCCAAAGCACGTGCTTTGGAGCTACTTCGAAAATGTGACGGATGGGTCGTCGAAGCCGCATGCTGAGTGTAACTACTGCAGAGCTATTGTCCGCAGTGCCCAACCGGGGACGAACATGCAACGTCACCTAGAGCTGCACAGATGCCCCTGCCGCTGTTAAACAACGCGTTATTGACTACTTTTCAAGCGTCCAACATTATCCAGTATTTTCAGCAACTGAAGGGCCTCTTCTTGATTCTGGTGATAATTCACACTCGACTACTGGTGTCAACACTGCACAGTCTGTACCAGTGTCAACACCCGCTCAGCTGCAACTTCAGTTTGAAGTTGCGTTGGCCGCCATGTTCTACCTGTGTGCACTGCCATTTACGCTGGTGGAATCCGAGGCATTTCGGAGCCCATTTAAGTTGCTGGCCCCGTGGATCCGATTCCCATCTCGACAAAGACTCAGTGGTGCGTTGCTTCGACAAGCACGTGATCAAATTCGCCAGAAGACTGTTGAAATAATTTGTCTCTATTGTAACAGATTCCTGGACTAATGTCAACCATTCAACCATTATTAACTTTATGGTCGTGGCTCCGGGAATGCAGTCCATGTTTTGGTCTTCATTAGCACTTGGCACGGATTCAGAAACGGGCGAGTATTTGGCAGAACATCTAGGTAGAGTTATTGATGAAGTCGAACGGGAAACAGGGGCCGTAATTGCTGGAATACTGACAGACAACGCTAGTAATATGGAGGCTGCAAGAGGAATATTGGAGAGATCTCGATCAATCTTTACAGGAGGTTGCTCTGCTCACGTGTTGAATTTATTGGTTGAGGACTTGTTCAAGCTGGACTGCTTCAAAGCTGCTCAAATCAAAGCACTTGCTATTACCACGTATGTCCGAGACCATCACGCCGTGCTTAACCAGTTTCAAACAACACTGAGCGAGACGCTAAACGGACATCACAGAGCGTTGGTCGTACCCGTCAGCACGCGTTGGTATTCTCTCCACGCATGTCTATCCCGGGTGCTTGAGAACAAGAACGTGCTAAAAAACCTGTTTTTGGAGCCGCAATTTTCAGATTTAATCCGGAATTCTGCCTCGAGCGCAACAGCTAAAGATAAATGCCGTCAAGTGAGAAGAAATATCAAAGATCGGGGATTTTGGAATAAGCTTGAACAAGTTGTGGGATTGATTGACCCCGTGATTCAAACCCTTCGTGAGCTCGAGTCAGACAACTGTCCAATCTCACGCGTTTATTCTCGGTTTCAGGAGCTGCTAAACCACCCTGCTTACGGCACTGAGACTGAACAGTCGGATCTACAAGCGTCAATCAAGGCGTGTGTTGAATATCGCTGGGATTTTGTGCACACTGACGCTGCAGGGTTAGCTTTTGTCCTAGACCCCCACACTGACCTGAATCGCTTTGTCGGCTCCGACGAAGGTGATACTATCGAACAAGGATGTGCGTTTGCAACAAGGACTGGTATACTTACGCGCTTACGAGTGACTAGAAATCAGTTCAATCAAGCTTTGATTCGCTTTGCTGGTAAGAAGCGGCGGTGGTCAGCTGCAAAGAGAGCGATATATGCGGGAGCGGATCCTCAGGACTGGTGGTCTTTTAACCGAAATGAGTATCCGTTGCTGTGGGAGATCGCCAAGCTCGTATTTGCAATACCGACGTCCTCGGCGAATGAGTATCCGTTGCTGTGGGAGATCGCCAAGCTCGTATTTGCAATACCGACGTCCTCGGCGGCAAGCGAGCGTGCATAGAGCATCATGGATTTTATTCATTCCAAGAAGCGCAACAAGCTGACGACAGAGAAGGTAGATATGCTAGCGTACATCTACGTCAATCATCACGCCGCTCAGAAGGAGGCTGCAGACTGGGCACGGGTGCACTCTTATCCAGGAAGCCATGAAGCCCTCGAGAGAGAGATGCCAAAGCAGAATGCAGCGTGATTAACATTCTGATGCGCGGTCGACCTAGGGTTGTTTTGATCTATTTTGAGCAATTTCGCAATTAATACTGCACAAGTAAATCGTTTTAAATATTTTCGAAATTACTCGAAACCATCACTAGTCAGCATAGGCGCTATTAACTGTAATTGGATGGAGTTAGCGTATTACGGTACTGCACACGCTGTAAATTTCCCTTATCGGGTAAGATTTATGCATTTTAGCGGTGAGCGAGGTGTTCTCTCTATCCTCAACCCTCCCCCCCCCACTCTCTAAGGGGCCCAAAAACTTTTCTTAGGTTTTTCCGCGGGGAGATATTTTCCTCAAAAAAACCCCCCAGGTTGTGGTTTTTAAAAAAGGGGTTCCACGGGGAATCTTAAACCCCACCGCGGGGAGGTTATGGACGGCCCTTTAATCAAGCAGTCCGCCTCGTCCAGGTTCTTGAAGGACGCGACGTTGATGATGACCGTGTTTTCGCTGACCCACTCAAGCGGCAGCTTGTAGCTCTTAACGGGGACGCCAGTAATGATGACACGAGACTTCTTACACGCCGTCTCCTGCGTCTCTTCGCTCGGGATGAGCTTACCGCGACGGAATAGGTACAGCGAGTCAATGTCGGCGCTGTACACGTCAGCGCCGTCATTCGCAAGCATAGCAGCCAATTGGCGGCCGACAATGTCACTACGGTTAATAGCCGTGATGTTAACACCTGACAAGTGGTTGCCAGTAGGCTTGGTCTTGTCGTAAACGCCAAGGTGTTCGAGGATCTTGACAATTGCCAAAGGTGTGCAAGGCAGCACGCACTTTTGCGTCTTCTCGTCGTCTACGTAGCGGATGTTACGGTACAAGTTGCCACGGTAGAATTGGCACAGTCTTTTCACGTCCTTCTTAATGCTGATGCTGTCGCGCAAAAAATCGTCCATGGTGCCACCGAAGAAGCTCGGGAAGGCGCCGAAGCACGGGTAGTACACGAGAATACCGTGCACACCCGAGTCTTTGTTGGCCTTCTCCAAAGCCTCCAGCAGCTCGTCCTTGGGCACTTCGCGCAGCTCGTAGCGGATGCCGTCGCGTGCACAGGCCTTGCCCGTCCACTCGGCGTACTTCTTGGCGGGCCGGGTCGCCGTGAGCCAGCAAACCCACGAGCTTGGGACCCACGCCACCCATATCCTGCTCAATGTACTGGCGCACGGCCAAGTAGGGGCGGGGCGCCCTACTGGGGAAGAACTAAGTCTTCGTGATGGGTGCGCGGGTGGCGCGCACCACGGGGACTTAGCCCCTGAGAGTCTTTGCACTCTCGAATCGGCGAAGAGCAGCGGTGGGTTGCTTGTAGTACACGGATGTGTACGGGGATACGATCATCCCTTTAGAATCTTGATCGATTCTGGGGCGTCGAAGAATTTTGCACGCCGCCAGACGGTTGCTCGCAACAGCAACAAGCTGTCCGATGCTTTGAGAGAAAGCAAGGGCAACGGGACGGTGTCAGTGCGACTGGCCGACGGGAAGGTCGTCACTGTCCCCAACGTCCAAGTGGATCTGGCCGTCAAGTTTGAAGACTTTGACAGCCTCGAACAGTTCACTGTTCTCATTATGATATGATCCTGGGCATGCCCTGGCTTGAGAAGCACGAGGCCTGGATCAACTGGCGACGCAAGGCAATCGGTGCTCGCCGCCCTGCAAAGTCCGACAGAGCATTGGTGAGTCATGTTCCCACCTCTGTCAGGACCCGGGGCGCCCGCAAGGGCTGCCAGGGTACCAAAGCATCCAGCAGATGCTTGGGAGTCGTCGACGTATATGACGACTCCGAGGATGTTTTTATGGTGGCAGCGCCAGAAGTGGCGCTGGCCAAGTGGGTAACTTAGGTCCACAGGCGGTTAACATAGTTCCGCAGACAGCTGCAGCTGTCACGAACACTGAGAACAGCGTGTTCAGAGTGGGTAACAAAGTTCCACTCACGGTCGCCCAGACCTTAACTGAAGAGGAAGACGTCGGATACGCTTCCTGTGTGGGTAACACAGTACCACGCGCGGTCGCCCGGACCTTAACTGAAGAGGAAGCGTTGAACACGCTTCCTGTGTGGATAACACGCGGTCGCCCAGACCTTAACTGAAGAAGAAGGCGTTGAACACGCTTCCTGTGGGGGTACCACAGTACCACACGAGGCCACGAGTACCTCGGATGTCGGTAGCAACGACATCTCTAGACGTAGGCAGCAAAAGCTCCATGTCACGGGTCGCCGTCGTCAACGACGCCGCCGCCGCCTCAAGTCGGATCCGAACTTCGTTCCGATCGACGTCGCTTCAAGCGACTCGAAGTCCAGGGCCCGGGCTCCTCCGACACGGCCGGTGGAAGAGTGTTATCACATCTTCGATAGCGAGACGGGTTTACCCGTCAAGGCATCTGGTGTCCACTTGGAACCGTTGCCAGAGGTTGCAGAGATACTGAACCTCGAGGAAATGACGGCTGAGTCTTTCCTGGCCAACCTCAAGGCTGGAGAGATCGCTGAGATGGTACTCATGAGACCTGAGACCACTCAGGAGGAGCTGAACTCCTCCTCTGTCTTGGACGAGAACGTCCTGGAAGACATGAACAAGCAGCGTCAGGCGCGCTTGGGTTCTGAGATTCTCAAGAACCCCAAGGATCCCGGTGTATCCTTTGGTGACGGAGTATGCGGACGTGGTGAATAAACACCCACCGACCCAGCTCCCACCGGATCGAGGCGTACGGCACGAGATTGATCTCGTGCCCGGCACAAAGTATTGTGTCACGAGGCAATGGCCTCTCCCGCGCGAACAGTGCGAGGTCATTGATGCCTTCTTCGCCGCGAAAGCGAAGGCAGGCATGGTGCGGGAGTCGAAATCCCCGCACTCGACGCCGACTTTCTGCGTTCGTAAGCCGAACGGAAAGTGGCGTCTGGTTCACGCTTATAACAAGCTGAACAACGCAACGGTGCCGGCCCAAACACCGATCCCACGAAAGGATGTGTTGTTGAACAACATGGCCGGGAGCGTACTGTACAGTGCGCTGGATTTGGTAGACGGATACTACCAAATCCTGATGCGAGAGAGTGACATCCCGCTCACCGCGGTAAGCACTCCAAGCGGCATGCTTTGGGAGTGGCTCGTCATGCCGCAGGGCTTGTCTAACGCCCCGGCGACGTTCAATCGCCTGGTGACGCAATTGTTCCGCCCTTTGCGTACCTTCGTACAGACGTACTTCGACGACATTTTCGTCCATAGCCGTGCCGAGGGAGGCAAGACGGCCATGGAGGTGCATCTAGGACACCTCCGTCGAGTGTTGGACGTGATGCGAGCGAACAAGCTCTACGCCAACATCGACAAGTGCGTTTTCGCGTCACCAGAGATCAAAGTTCTCGGTTGCTTCGTAAGCAACGTGGGCGTTCGGGCTGACCCAGACAAGGTCAAGGCCATAGCAGCATGGCCGACGCCCCGATCCCAGAAGGATCTTCGAAAGTGGTTGGGCTTGGCCAACTACCTTCACAAGTACAGCGCTGGGTACGCGGGCTTCGCTAAGCCCTTGTCAAGCCTCCTTCAGAAGGACGTCGACTGGCGCTGGGAGCAAGAGCACCAGGATGCTTTTGACAGCATCAAGGCCAGTCTCCAAGAGGCCCCTGTCCTGGCCCTGCCGGACGAGACGAAGCCGTTTAGCGTCGTCTGCGATGCCTCCGATTACGCCATCGGGTGTGCATTGCTGCAGGACGACACGGCTGGACAGGAACGAGTCATCTCGTTCCAGTCCCGGCAGCTCAAAGCCGCCGAGCGGAACTACCCTGTCCATGACAAGGAGCTCCTGGCAATGAAATATGCCCTTGTGAAGTTCCGTGTTCACCTTCTGGGCTCTAGGCCCTTTGTGATCTACACAGACCACGCGTCCTTGAGGACGGCGACTAACTCGCCTCACCTCTCCCAAAGGATGGCGAGGTGGCTGTCCTTCTTCGCGGAATACAACTTCCGCGTCGAATACAAGCCGGGCAAGCTCAACGTGCTTGCGGACGCCCTCTCTAGGCGTCCCGACTATGAGTTGGCCCACATCACGCGGGTGACAACGGATCTATATGATCGGATACGCATGGCGTATCGGGACGATGAGGCTGTCGCGCCTATCGTCAAGTTCCTTAAGGCCGGAACGAGCGCGAAGTCCGACTGGCTCTCGTCGCGACAGCGCTCACGGCTCCACCGATATGAGTTGAAGGAGGACCTCCTCTATTATCGGGTGGAGCCCACTGATTCTCCACGGGTGGTCGTACCCAACGACGAGGATCTGAAGCTCGACATCCTCGCGGAGGCACATGACGCGCCCTCGCACGGCCACTTGGGCCGCGAGAAGACCTTTCTGTCGGTCTCTAAGGCCTTCTGGTGGACCCACATGTATAAGTGGGTCGCCCGGTACGTCAAGACATGTGAAACATGTCAGCGGGTCAAACCCGCAGGGCACTCTTCGGCTCCACTACAGAGCCTGCCCGTACCGGCTGATTGTTGGAAGTCGATGAGTCTTGACTTCATCTTTGGGCTTCCCGCCGACGGACACGGCAACACCGGAATTTTGGTGTTCGTGTGTCGGCTGAGCAAGATGGTACATCTTGCTCCAGTTCCCGTCACTGTTACGGGCGAACAAACCGCAAGGTTGTTCGTCGATGGCGTGTTCCGCTATCACGGTCTCCCAGAGACGATTGTCTCGGATCGAGACCCGCGGTTCACTGCTGCGTTTTGATAAAAGGCTGTTCCCTTTACTGGGAACTCGTCTGCAGATGTCCACTGCGGATCATCCGCAGACAGACGGCCAAACAGAGCGCGTCAATCGAGTGCTCGAGGACACTCTGCGCAGTGTGTACGCGGCAGCACCACGTACGTGGTTGACGCAGCTTCCAGTTGTTGAGTTTGCGCTCAACAACGCGGTGCACGCGTCCACGGGGTTCACGCCGTTCTACTTAAACGGCTTCTGCCACCCCAGAGTGCCTCTCACTCTTCGAGGAGACACTGACTCTTCTATTCTAAGTGGGGGAGAGGCTCGGAAAGCCCTTTCCTCCCAGGTCTCGGATGTGAGACCAGTTTCGCTGCGGAAACAGGTGGAATCCTTTATGGATACGAAGCTGAACATTGTCAGCAGGGTCCGCGATGCCATGGCAGCGGCCCAAGATAAACAAAAGGAGTACTCAGACAAACAAGGAAGAGGAAACTTAAGTATATTTGAGGTTGGGGACTTAGTGTTGCTAGACACGAGGAACCTACCTCTAGACACTGTTAGCTCTGTCGGCAGCAACAAGCTGAAGCACCGCTTCATCGGACCTTTTGCAGTCCTGGCCAGACATGGTGCGTCGTACACCATCGACCTTCCAAAGTCAATGACGACGCACCCGACGCTCTATGTCGGACGTCTTAAGCGGTACTTTGACCCGCAGGGGGTTGCTGACTCGCAGACCCCCCTTGACCCAGCTCCTCGAAGCGAGGGCCGGTCACAGTCGTCGACGAGGGCGTCGGAGCAGGCACCCAAGCCTCGGTCGGGACGGCAAGGCTGCGGTCAAGACCGTACGCCGGAGGGGCTCCATACGAACGGACCCCGGCGCCATACGCCGAGTACGCTGAGTACGCCGGGTACGCACCATACGCGTACGTCTGGGAGTGTGCCGCAGGCGGCTCCGGACGTAGCAACAAAGCCTCGATCCGTCGGATCATGCGAAAGGCCTCGTCCAGATCGGACGAAGAGGCCCGGCGGTCCACCCGCAGGTGCAGGCTCGCGACCTCTCGCTCCACCAGGTCCAGGCGACCCGCAAGACGAGCGAGCTCGCCCTGATTCCCGGCCTGGGCGGCAGCATTACCGCCAGTCCCAAGGCCAAGTGCAATCTCAA